GGGAGTTTCCACTGCGGCACTGCTTTCTCTTGTGGTGCCTGCAGTTGCACAATTGGACGTGTAGATATTGAGTTGAGCCTTGGCCGTTGCAAAGTCTCCAGAATATATATTGAGGTGAGCCTTATAGAAGTTTCCTTGCTTTTGGGAGTTGGTATCAGTTCACACAAGTGATGGGATGTAAAAGTGGTTTGGTGAACTGCATGGATCTTTATGCAGACTAATGTGACATGCAAAATCTGGCGATGAGTTTACAGAGCCTTCATCTAGTCTTTGAGCTGAATCGAGTTCGAAAGGTGAAGCGTGTCTTATGTGATCATTGCCGCTGGCAACGCTAGTAAATTTGCCAAGATCCAGATTGCACACATGCGCCAAAGATGGATTTTCTCCTCCATATCTCGTCAGCTCATGTAAGCAATACTGTTTGCTCTCTCTTGCGTCAGAGAGGTGTGGGTGTGGCGATGTACGGTCGTGTATTTGTGGGCCAATGTGTCTCCATGGACCTGTTAAACAGATGGGATGGATGCATTTGGGAACTGGTAGGCATAATTTCATATCTTTTCTCTTTTGCACACGTCCAACCCCCTCCTCGTTTTTCCCCTCCACTGTGTGTGTGTTGTCATATTCGGCGATTATTCGCTATATAGTATATACACTAAAAAGCACGACTGTGCCAGACTGTTTCGTTGGACTTTCACAGAGACTCATCAGGAGTGTGTGTGTGTGTGTGTGTGTGGAGATGTGTGTTTGTGTGTGTGCGAGTGTGGAGTATGGAGTGTGGAGTGTGTGTGTGTGTGTGTGTGTGGAGATGTGTGTGTGTGTGGGAGTGTGGATTGTGGAGTGTGTGTGTGTGTGTGTGTGTGTGTGTGGAGATGTATGTGTGTGTGTGATGTGTGTGCGTGTTTATTTGCGGAGGTGTGTGTGCGCGTACGTGTTTATTTGTGGAGATGTGTGTGCGTGTGCTGTTTATTTGCGGAGATGTGTGTTTTGTGGAGATGTGTGCACGTGCGTGTTTATTTGCGGAGAGGTGTGCGCGTGCGTGTTTATTTGTGGAGATGTGTGCGTGTGCGTGTTTATTTGCGGAGATGTGTGCGCTTGCATGTTTATTTGTGTAATTCTGTGCTGCTGTAAGCCTATAACTACTGCATATGTATATTTGTTAGGTCTTTTGGCACAATCAGCTGGGTTGAGTGGTATGGTGTCTCACTTCTTTCGAATGCTGGCAGCATGGTTATTCTTGGAAATGGGGTTTGCTTGGTCGAGTGTCTCGACTGAAAGCAACTTTCTGAGAGAAGACTCAGAAGATCATAAACATTGCCCCTTTTTTGGCCGGTCGCGAGCTGCATGGTTTGCACGGTCCCCTGTCGCAATAGCGCTACCCTGCTCGGTAGGGATATTCCTCCTCATCTTTTCCTTTGATGTGGTGCATGCAAATCAAAGTCTTAGTTCTTTATCTTTTCATATGTGCCATGTCGATTTCACTGCGGAGTATCGCAACGTCTCCAAGCACATGCAAATCTCTGCCCATTCAACGATTACACGCTGGTGTGCCGTAAGGCTCTGTGTGCCGTTCGCCTTGAGCTGTGAACTCACAGGCAATTAACTTGATGAAAATTACATGAATAATAAATAAAACACACAAAAACACACTGTGATTGCTTTGCGCTTGCTGTGCGCCTCTGTAATGTATATGATATATAAACTAAAACAAGTAGTAAACAAATAAAAATAGGTATTATAATAATTATAGTACCATTAAAGAAAGGAGCACCAGTGAACCTCGTGCATGATAGATGACTCCGATCAGGAAGTCGCCCGATATCATACAGTTAGGACTCTGGCGAGTCTCTTCGAGTGTCTCCAACCACTCTGGCCAGACCTTTCTCTTTGTTGATCTAATAGATGAAAAAGCGGCTTGGGGAAGGTGTCGTGGCCTTGTGCTGTGAGCTCCCGGCTTCACCCTTCTATTTTGTTCATTTGGCGTGGGGAAGGTGTCGTGGGGCCCCTGTTGTGTCGTGGGGCCTCTGTTGAGACAAGGAGGAAAGATTTGGTGGAATGAAAAGAAGTGGAGGTGGTGGATGACCTCATGCCGTGTGGAGATGAGGAGGAGAAATTTGGTGGAACGGTAGTATAGTAGCGGATAGAAAAGAAGACGGATTTTACTGGGGGGGCACTCGTCATGATCGTGTTTTCTTTCTTTCTCTGGGCCGTTTCCTTGCTCGCGCCACATCCAAAACAATTCCTTTCAATGCTTGTAGGGTGCACGGCGCACCGTAGATTTACTCGCACATACATACACACCCCCCTCACATTACATGCATGCAAACAGGGGGGCTTGCTTGCTACGGGGTAAAAACCAACCTCCACCTTGCATGCAAGCCACCCCCTCCTTTTTGCTTGCTCCCCTAGGGTTTCTCTTCCAGGGTCCTATTAAATCCGGACATGTTTTTTTTTTTTGTTTTTTTTTTAATCTATTAAATCCCGACATGTTTGTAACTTTTCGTTGAGCTGATTATTCCTTGTTCGACCCATGCCGGCGGAGTGAGCACGGTGTGAAAAGGGTGTCACTGAGCGTTCACCGATCAATCGAACAAAATGCTGTCTTGTAGAATTTTCCCATCCGTACTTTTTTGTAGGTGTGTTGGTAATTGGAATATCTGAAAAAGCTCTCTCTCATATTTTACTAATAGTTAATAATTTTAGTAATTTACCATTTCTCTGCAATTTGCTGGTGGTCTCTTCTCTCTGAGCGATTGCAGCGAAGAATGCTCCTCTTCCTTTGTGAAACTTGGTCTACTTGGTCTTTAGGAGGCAAAACATACTCCCATTTTCTCGCTGAATTTTCTAGTTTAGTCAGCTCAAGGTGTACCAAAGAGAAGAAACAAAATACACAAGGTAAAAAAATATATATCAAAACGCCTGCTGGCATCATCAAGAACGGTAGGGGACAAAACCCCAAAATCTGATGTCCACAGCTTTCCCCCCCCCAGCAACCCCCCCCCCCCCCCCCAATCTGGGGATAGCCCTTTCCCAAGTTCACTATCCTGGCGGCGGTAAGAGAGCTGTCAGGATCGAGGACTTGGCCAGTGGGGCTGCTCCATCTATTGGTGAAGACCATCCTGCTGGAAACCAGGTCCAGCGTCCCTTAGAACGAACTTTACGATACCGCGAGCGGGAGCTTTGGTCGTTAATCGTCCTCCGTACTATATCCCTTGGGGCTGTAAGTGATGTGCCCTTCCCATACCCCTCTCAAGTTTCAACCTAAGGCTTGACCAATGGCTTGAAATGACAAGCCTGTGACCCCATTCTGTATTTCCATTTTTTTTTAGACCTGGTACTTGTGTGTCAATCCAGGAGCCTGCAGCCCACCCCTAAACCATTTGCAGAGTCCACTTACCTGGTTTTTTTTTTTTTTTTTTTTTTTTTTTTTTTTTTTTTTTTGAAAAAGACAACCGCTTTCCGGTGTTAGTGGTGCTGATAAGAGCAGACGCCACTAACACCTAGGGGGGGCTCCATCTATTGGTGGGGAGCGTCACCTGCTGGAATACAACACTCTTTCGGCGTCAACTCATGGCACGCGAATGAGTGCATCTTCCCATAGGAAATGGACAAATTCATCAGTTTGCTGTATATAGTAACGAGTGTACGTTACCACCTTTCGTGGGCATTATTCTTTGTACAAACTCCAACAACATATCGATAAGGCACTTGCTCAATTCTCAAATATCTCTCTGTGATGCGTATGGTTTTGCAAATGGTTTTCAAGTGACACCAACCATATCGTTCAATACCCCAGGACAATTATGTCTTGCTATCTGCATGCTGCTCTCTCTTTCTTCTCTCAGATGTCAAACCATACCCGCTTTCTCTGTCTTTCTTTTTAACCCACTTTCCCTCAAAACTCACTCAGTATGAAGAAAAATTCTCCATCTTGAAGAAGAAGAAGAAGAAGGTCTGCCATTGAGGAAGAAGATGAACTTCCACCCTAAGGCTTGAAAAAGAAGATACGGCAGAGCCAAACCCGAGCTGCACAGAACAGAGAGGCATGCACACTTCCCAGCAGATGAAGCACCGGGCTTTCACTACCATCCCCAAACACAGCAGCAGCAGCTCCCAAATGAAGTGCTGCTCCAGCAGCCTGGCGGCGCCAACAAGTTTCACCAACCATGGAGGACTGTTCGGCCTAGGCTCGCCATCTACGTGCTTCCCTGCTGCTGTAGTGAAACAGCATGATCTCTCATATCAGCTGGTGTCATTGCTAATGAAACCTGTTAGTACTAATTCTACATATAGCTCCATGGCTAACCTGGTGCCTTTGCTAGTGAAACCTGTTAGTCCTATTCTATATATTATAGCTCTAGGGCTAACCTGCTAATGAAACCTGTTAGTCCTATTCTATATATAGCTCTCGGGTTAACCTACCGGACTGGACTCGGCTAGGACCTAACATCCTAACAGTTACAGGTGTGTGTTTTTGCCAGAAATAGCAGTGTACCAGTCCGAGGCACAATTGTGCTGCAGTCAGTTTAGGCCTAAGAGGCGAAAACCAGTTTTAGGCTGAGTAGTGCCCGTTTTCCTCAGTAATTTAGGGACTCTACACACGAGTCCCGCCGCTCGGCTTAGACTCAGATGTAGCTACCGGTTAGAACCCAAAACTTAGAAAAATTACAAAATTGATTCGGTTATCGTTACATCCCACTGAGAAATCCAAAAACGCGGCATCTGCCATCAGGCAACTACGCGTGCATCGATCAGAATGAGGACAAACTTTAAATTCATTTGTTGCGTAGGCTCGTTTGCCCTCTATCCTTGCATGCCGAGTCTTCCTCTTAGTTATTCAGAAGCGGAACTGTGAGTAAATGGTCAGCGATATTATGATGATCGGTCCCGACCCGCTTCTGGTGGCAGTAGTTAGTGGGATGTCTAACCTGTTTCCAGCTGGTTTTCTATTCTCGCATGTCGAGTCTTCCTCTTCGTCATTCAGAAGTGGAGCTGTTAGTGACTGGTCGGCGATATTGTGATAATCGGTCCCGGCCCACTTCTGGCGGCAGTCGTTAGTGGGATCTTTCTTACCTGTGTCCGCCCTGTCCACATGCAGATCATCGTCATGAGGAATGGTGGCAGAACATTGAGATTTTGTTACGAACAGCTGCGCTCTCTTTGCCTCAGTTCCCCAGTCGAGGAGCAGGATGATAGATGCAATCGCAAGAGCAGCAACAACCTCTGCTGCAATTAGACCACACCAGAGGCCGGCATCGCCCATGTGCATGACGAAAGCGAGGTAGGCAGCTAAAGGCAATCCAATAAAGTAAAAGGCCACAAGGCTGACACCAAGCAAGGCGTCAGGGCGAGCACAACCCCGCAGAATGCCAGCGGCCACAGATTGGGGAATGGAAAAGAGCTGCACGATCCCAAGCAGTGGGATGACCTTCTGGATACGAAGCTGTACGGCGGCGATGTTAGTAAACAAGCGTGCCACATGGGCACCACATGTCGAGAAAAACGTGAGAGAGGTCCCAGCGAGGACGAAGGAGATGGACCAAGCCACGTACGCTGCAAGATGGGCCGCTGGCGGCGAGTTCGCGCCAAGTTCAATGCCAACTCGTGTTGATGCCGATTGGCTGACAGCCGTAGGCGTCATCGCGAACATGAGCGCACAATTCAACAAGATGGACATTGCGGCCACAGCAGTGCTGGGGTCAGGAAGCAGACCGGCGAGAATAGTGATGATCTCTAAGGTCCACCACTCCACGCATACACTTACACAAGAAGGCACAGAAAGCCTCACAATGGGTCCCCACTCTTTCAGGCACTCCCAGGACCATCCTTCCCATTTGCCAGGGCCTTCTTTGGGGGTGATCAGCCAGACCGTGAGCAAAAGCAAGCAAATTAAGCTGATGTCGGTGCAAACTGTCGATAAGGCAGCCCCTCTGTACCCAAGGCCCGCCTTGAAGATGAGCGCATAATTCAATGGAATGTGGATACACAGCGCTATGCCTGTGGAGACTGTAAGCGGAACTGTGATGCACTGTGATCACAAGTATGTTCTTGTCGGTACGACAAGCGCGTAGACGAAGAGATCAGGGATTGAAACTAAGGTGTAATTCTTCGTTACAGCAGCAATTTCCGGGTCTTGTCCGCATAGGATAAGAATCTTTTCCACATACAGCAGCAATTTCCGGGTCTTGTCCGCATAGGATAAGAATCTTTTCCACATTGAGCCAGAGGAACACAATGATGATTGCACTCACGCATTGGAGCATGATTATGGCGCGCTGCATCGTCAACTGAAGCAGCTTGTACTTCCGAGCACCGTACGCCTGCGCACATATAGGATCGATCCCAGTCGCCAACCCCATCACTAGCGAGTAGCCTGTGGCGTTGCAGAACCCCATAGCGAGGGCTGCCCCAGCGAGATCGTTGTTTCCGAGATGACCAAGGTATATGGTAGATATGACCACTCTCGAGAACCATAAGATGTTGGCCAGCGCCGTGGGTCCTGCGAGGGCAAAGCACCTCTTGAACTCCAACAAAATCTCACTGGAATTGGCCCCTCTCAACTGACCCATGTGGTGTCCCCATACCGTGGGCAGAAATCGAGGCAGGTCTGGCGATTGCTGAAATTCACAGTTCTCCAAAATGCGAGCGCCGTGACTGTTGACATCATGCTTGCCGGCCGTGGGTTTGACGCCAACATTCGTCCTTGTGACGATTACCCCCTTCAGGGGGGCAACCACATCTCCCGGCACAGACATTATGGCATGATGATCGTCAACTACTCCATTTTTGACTGGGGCCCCCATGTTCGTTTCCCGCCACAGTTTGCTGAGTTTACCCCGCAGAGGTTCTGCGAGGTGAATCGCCGTGAATGTTCCCACAGTGATGGGAAATGAGAGTTCTGTTCTAGTCTCAGACTCATGACCCTGTCCAGCCTCAATTTGCTGGTTTAAAATGACTGCGGCGCAAGTTTAGACTTCACTCCTGCCCACGCTTGGGCTTTCCAAGGAGGTAGAAAAGGGCAGGGATATTTCCTACCAAAATCATTCACAAAGTGGTCCTTGGCCATCATAAGACACCTGTCGCCTTATAACTTTTTGCTGCTCCTGGCAAGAAAATTGTCCACGAAATGCCCACTGTGGCGCCGCTGGACAGCACGCCTGAGCCTCAAGCTGAAGTGATAATCTGCAAAGCGAAGGTCACCAAGACGGTTCACGATCCTGATGCGTCAGATATCATCCCGACCACACATCTTCCATTCATCTGATGGCATGAGATGCGCACTCAAGGTGAGCCTACTGAAAACCTGAAATAACAAGGTAAATCTTCAGACGTATACCGGGTCAAGAGTGTCGGGAACCAGGACAGGCTTGTTTATTTATTTTGTTATTTTTATATATATCGTCAAACAGAGCTGCCCAGTAAACTGTAGGCAGAGAGGGAGAAGAGGACATCAAACGCTGTGACAAACTGCTTCGTCGGATTTTCACCGACTCATCAGGAGGGTGAATCTCTATATATCGTCAAATATATATATACTTCTCTCTCTCTGCCTACGGTTTTACCGGGCAGTTCTGTTTGTGACGATATATATATATATATATATATATATATATATATATATCGTCACAATATATATATATATACTACCCTTAGAGCTGCCCAGTAAACTGTAGGCAGACGGAGAAGAGGACATCAAAGGCTGTGACAAACTGCTTCGTCCGATTTTCACCGACTCATCAGGAGGGTGAATCTCTATATATCGTCAAATATATACATATACAGGGTTGCCGGCGTTCGGGACAGGGCAAACGCCCGAACCCGAACGCCCGAACGTACGGGACCCCTTCGGAAGGCGTTCGGCCGTTCGGGCCGAACGCGGACCAAAAAAAGAAAAAAGAAAAAAACAAGTTTTCACAAAATTCCGAAAAAAACAAACGTTATGCAGAAAAATAAACTAAACAACATTTGCCTGGGCACTACATCCAAATTTTTTACCAAATTTGAATTAAAAATGACATACAGAAAATAAACACTATGATAAAAATAAGAAAAAATAAAAAGAGAATTAAAATGAGTGAGTGTGCCAGCACCTTTTCGACACCGCCATGTTTGCCGATTTTTAATTATTTTTTGGCATTGACAAGTGCCCTGAAAAGTTACAGATATGTAGTTTACATAATGAATAACTCATTATTTTTTTTTCAAAAATAATAAAACCTTTAAGGCCCCGAAATAAAGTGAAAACAAAAAGTTAAAAGTGAAAAAAAACAAAATACTGAGTGGGCGAGCACATTTTGACACCCCCATCTTTGACGATTTTTAATGTTTGTTTGGCTTAGCAGAATAACTTCAAATTTATAGGCGTGTAGGTTACATCATAGAGAACTCACAAAAACAAATTCAGAAAAAAACACTTATTTTTAGGCCCCGAACAAAATTTTGGCGGGGCCCGAACCTGGAGGTGTTCGGCCCCTGAACGGGACCCTGAACGCCCGAACGTTCGGGGGCCCCCAAACGTTCGGTCAGGTAACCCTGTATATATATATATATATATATATATATATATATATATATATATATATA